TACACCTTTGATAATTCCGCGATCAAAGGTGCTCGCTCGGCGACTCGTATCAGGAGGTCAAAATAACACAAACCAACTTTCAATAGAAAATTTCAACCACAAAATTCAGATTGATTAACAATCAATCGACGATATCCTTCCTTGCTTGAAATGATTGAAGAGCGGATCCAACTAATTCAACTGAATGATGGTCTTCACCAATTTCCCTCGGTGGAGCTCCTCATCTGAAAGTGCGACAATATTCCCCAATTCTCACGCCAATTGAGGTTAGAATTTATATATTTAAACTTTTTATTTTATTTTTATTTAGGGCTTTTTTGTGTTGTCTAGCTAATTTATAGACCTTAATTTTTATTCTAACTGTAATTCCTTCTTTCCATTTTAATATTTTTTATTAGATTTAGTCACAAAAAATGCAATTAGTTTTGTTCTTTTTTTCTTTTGTGAAAATTTACATACTAGTAATAGTTCCAGTTATCTTGAAATTATCCTTTGAGTAAAAGCTTAAAGTTATGCAATGGCTTGAGGAAATGAGATTATCTGATTGCCCCTAGAAATGTTATACCTTGAAGAGAGTAGCTTTGAATGGAAGAATTGTTATGCACATCATATGTTTGTAGAAAAGCCTCAGTTGGCTAGACTCAATTAGATATTAGATATTAAAAACAGAGCAGCACTCTACTGGAACCAAGATCATCAGAATCGGATCATTTTCCTATACATCTATTTTCATCAGCAACTCCAATGTGTGGACTAATTTAAACTTTTTGACACAATTCACTAGTCTGAAATCACGCTATGAGGTATAATATATGCCTTTCAGGGGATATTGAGGCACCTAAGATTTTTGGTTTTGTGCTGGTTTTATAATCATTTTAGTGCTAAAAAGTATTCTTCAACCAAGGGCAGACAAGTGTCTCACATTATGAGCAATTGAGCCAGCACTTCAAAATAACCTAAGACCCAGCTCGGACGAATCTACACGCCGACATCTCGCGAGGACCACTCAAATGGCGTTACATGTTGACCTCTAGCTAGGTCGACTCTCTGATCGACCTACTTGACTAGCCATTCGGCCGACATCTTGCAAAGGCGACTTAAAAGACGATACTTCTCGACCAGTGGATGAATAAAAGGCGACGAAATTCCTCGAGCCTCGAGCCCCTCCCCACGCACTGATAGCCAATCACCTCGCAATAAATGTCATTAAATGCATTATAAGCCCCATCATTCCTCTGCCCCAATAGTCTTTATTACACATCGGATCACATCGGTACCGTACACCCCCAATCACTTCGCATTAAATACTAAGGTGACCTATCTTTCACTCGTCGACTGACACCTGTAAAGCAGATGCTGACGTGGCCGCCATCCCATACTCGGTCAAAATTATCATTCTACCCTTTTACCATCACTATAAATAGGGGTACTATTTTCAACAATAAGGTAAGATCTTTTTCTCCACCCACTGTACTTAAAAACTTCTACAATTCAGTTACTTCTCCACTCAAGCATATTACTAACTTGATCGTCGAGGAACAACCGGGAAACTCAACCCCGCCCTCTTATAGTTTGTTACTTGTGCAGGGAAGAACAACCTACTCTAAAATCGAACATTCAGAGGGTTAAAGGACCTCCATCGACTTAATCACTTCTTTCATTGATTGTTTGATATCGGCCATCAATAGCTGGTATATGTGAATATCCACAACCGCAAGCGCTTTCAAAATTATCACATTTCCCTTCCAAAATAAAAATCTTCAAAACTAAATGTAATAAGTATTAAATTATCCCAATTATTGTAGCATGCTTTAACTTTTTAAAGCTCCATCCAATCCTATTAGTGTAATCCCAACATACTTCGACCTGATATTGCTTTTGTAGAAAAGATTTTCAGAGAATGCATTTTTTATTTATTTATGAACTTAGCTTGTTTTACGTTTTGTGACTTGCTAGTAATTTTGGATAATGTTATATTGTGTGCATGGTGAAGCTATGGAAGCTAGATTTGTAGCCATGTTTTTGTCTAAAGGGAGAGTCTCATAGCCATTTTTGGAAGAATTGATATGTGTTTTTGTGTGTGTATATAGCTTCACATGTTGGTTCTAATTATGTATTTTGTGGTCTTAGTTGTATTTTTACAATAACATTGATTTTGGTAGGTATGTGATGTTTATTTTACATCCTTGTGTATTTTGTAATCTTGAATGTATTTTGTGGTCTTGGTTATATAATGTTTACGCAACTATTTTTGATATGGTGTGTATGTGATGAAAGTACAACATGTTATTAAGAAAGTACAACATATTATTATGAAAGGACAACATGTTAGTTTAGAAGTATAATAAATTATTATGAAAGTATAGCATGCTATTCAAGAAGTATAACAATTTATTAAGAAAGTATAACATGTTATTGTAAAAGTATGGCATATTATTCTGAAAGCATAACATGTTATTCTGAAAGTAAATCGGGTTTTAATATAAGTATAGTAGATTATTCAAAAGTATAGCATATTATTCTGAAAGTATAACATGTTATTCTGAAAGTATAGCATATTATTCCAAAGTATAACATATTATTCTAAAACTATAGCATGTTATTCTAGAAGTATAACATGTTATTCTGAAACTATAGCATGTTATGCTAAAAGTATAGCATATTATTATGAAAATATTGCATGCTATTCTGAATGTATAGCAAGTTACTAGTTGGATTGCACGTGCAATGCACGTGGTAAAATTTTTAATTTATTCTTTTGTTATTTATTCATTTCATTAAGATTTATTTAATTTAAACCATGTATCAAACATATGGATACATACATTGCATGTGATACATATTAAGAAACTACAAGAGTCAAAATTAATAATGTTTTCATAATTATGCATTGAACTTATACACAATACACAAGATGAATGCCAATTAAACATTATCTCACAGGACTAATTAGAATATTGTCCATAGAGAAGGAACCTAATCAACCATATATATGATGCACGTGATAAAAGTCAACTCACAATCAAGAAAAAGTTTGTTGATCTTAGCTTCAAGTCCCGATGAAAAACATTGGCTGATAACCAATAACACACAAAAAACAACCATTGATATTGTTAGAGAAAAATAGTTGTCATCGCCCAATCAAGCCAGCAAAAAAAAAGGCATTCACCAATGTGGATGTACTTCATAGCTATGGATATACTTCATAGCTCGCAGAAGCTGGTACATAAAAAAACTGATGGTGTTCAAGCGTGAGATTGTCATATAATCTCATTATTTTTTTAAAAAATACCACTTTCGCCCTTAATAAAAATTTATAAATAATTATTAACATCAAACTGATAAATAATAGTATTTGATCTCTATTGCTTACTGAGAGGGTGTTTGGGTTGGGGGGGGGCTGTTCTTTCGAGGTTTTAAGCTATGTTAGCTTTTGATGGCTTTTGTCTTTTATAATAAAATCTACTTAAATATTGTTTGGGTAAAATAGTAATTTGTTTGATCAAACTTAGCGTGTTTGTGCACCCTTATTAGCTCGTTTTTCAATAGCTAGAGTGTACCAACTTCTAAAAATAAGAGCTTTTAAGAATAAGTCTTATAAGCAACTTATTTAGTATTATACCAAACAGATAGATATGAAAAAGCTAGCTTAAAAGCTAGTTTGAACAGACCCTCTGAATTTGGATGCTTGAAGAAATATTTGTATCCAAGCACAATCAAACTTATTTTTAAGGCTCATACCATAAAAGTAATAAGGTAGATAATATGAGTTTAGCGATACAAACTGCAGTTTTTTTAAGTTCAGCTCAGTTATGCTAGATAAACACATCACTCCGGAATAACTATTGCAGTTACATGAGAGCTGCAGACTAACCGACAGAGCTCAGATTTTGCTTACATCAATTATATCACTATTGCAGTTACATGAGAGCTGCAGACTAACCGACAGAGCTCAGATTTTGCTTACATCAATTATATCTTCATAAATTAAAAAAAAAAACAAAAAGGAAAAGAAGCAGCAGCTTATATCAAAATATTCTCTCCCAAAGAAATAGCCTGAGCGTCGGCTCAACAGATGATGCACGAGACATCTTGGTCAAATCTTAACCTCAAAAGTTCACATTTCATAGCAACAATAAGAATCCACATTGGTGCTAGAGCTATCACCCTCTCCACACCATCACCGCCAACAACGACTACATAAGTTGTAATTAAGTTTAAGCATAAAATTGTTCAAAAAGTCTGCAGAGACAGAAAAGGCACCCTAGAGTCAGATATGAAACTAAAAAAGTTCTGCAAGACCTGAAAATACAGGTAGGTCCAGACTTATAAAATCTACGGGTCCGAACATTGGATTCCAGAAGACATAGCAGAATACATCGCAGAAACAAAATAGATAAAACCCGCATCATCCTTTTATCTGCTGCGTCCTGGGGACAAGTCTGCAGACCTGGATCGTGAACCATAAGGCGAACGTGAAGCACGTCTTGGAGACCTTGAGATAGAGCGTCTCCTCCCATCGTCATCATAGAAATCTTTTCTGCAAATGTATGAAAGTGATGAAGGGCTTGAACTTATAATGACAATACGAAGGGCTTGAACTTATAATGACAATACGAAATACAACACAAAGTATGAAGATACTCAGTATGAAAGTGATGATTGGCTTGAGTATTATGTATGCAATCCAAAAAGAAATCTACACAATATTAAACATTTCATATAATTAAACATTTGAAAGTTTTTAAGTGCCAGTTTTAAAAACTTCAGGATATTTAAGTGCAAAATTTAAAAACCTTACGATATTTAAGTGCAAGTTTTAAAAACTTTAAACATGCAAGTGCTTCCATAAGCAATTGAGGGTACATAATTGAAAGTTTTAAACATTTTAGCGTATATAGGTGCTGGATAGAACAAGTGAGGGTATATAAGTGCAACGTAGTTGAAACTATAGGGGATTCATGCAATTAAGTCTATTTCCAATTAGAACATAGTGTTTACAGTAGCATTCTTCTTGCTTTTCAAACCTTTTCTTGACATCTTCCTTGCATATCTTACAAAATATATATTTTCCAATATAAGACACCAAATATTCATTAGATTTCAATATATCCTTTCCAATGCAAGACAACAAATATTTATTAGGTTTCAAAGATCATTCTTAATATTTTTCATTACCGAAAATGCTCTTTCAACACTTGTTACTACAGACAAGATTAGTGTTAACTTAGGCAAAGCGTATGCCTAAGTATATAAAGTATCCTTCCTCCACTAACTTCTTAGCAAGTTTACCAATCCCATTAATTTCAGAAAAAATCATGATGAGTAGCTATATAAGAGATGTAGTTACCATGTGCGATCGCTAAGCTCCATGCAATCTATTTCACAAGAGGAAAAAAATATTTAGGATAAAACTCAAAATAAATGTCACTCTTTCATGAAATTAGCCATAACATTATCAAAGGTTCCAATTTTATTAAACCCAAAACATTCTTACTAATGTCTCAAAAAGATATAGGAACAACCCTAATCATAAAAAAAGAACACATCATAAGATGGGAAAATTAGTTATGTCTATCTAAAAGCGAAAACATCAATCAGAAGGAATCGAAAGAGTTTTTGTTAAAGTTAAGGTAACTTGTCCCTTTTACCCCCATATTAAATAGCTATCAGCCAATTACCCGACCTTGTGTCAATAAGTATGTACGCGTGTGTGACGATTTTGCTGACATACTAATGTTGTTTCCTTTTTTCTTTCCTTCCTTTGATTTTGCCCCTGCATATGTTTTTTAATAAATTCTAAATCTAGACTTGAAATAGGGAATGCTCCCCCCTTAGCAACCAAAACATTGTGAAAACATTCTATATCCGCAACTATATTAATACAAATAATAAATTTATGAATGTATACTCTCTCTCTCTCTCTCTCTCTATATATATATATATATATATATATATATATATTTTTTATGTTTATTTGGAACCAAATTCATGACATGGAAATTTCATACAGAAATAAAGTCGGAAGGATTGAAATTCATGCTGAGCTAATAGAAGTTGGTCTATAACTGGTCGATAATTGATTCTTCTATATATCTCTCAAGGGGGGAAAAAGAGAGAGCAGGTGAAAATGTAAGGGAGATGTAAGGGAGTTCACAAAAACTTACTCTGCATGACCATTGTCAGGTTGATTTTGGTTAGCATTGATATACCCTGGAGACCGTGATCTGCGATTATAGTCCTCATCACGTCCTTCTGGATAATCCCTTGGGTACCTTGCATGGTCTGAATGCCTTCTTGGTGAATAATCACCTTCTCTTCTTGGAGAATAATCATCTTGCCTTCTTGGGGAGTAACCACCTTCTCGTCTTGGTGCAGGAGAGTATGACCTGAAGAGACATCAATTATCAAATTAGTTATGCATCATTTCTATGAAGTAATAACTTTGAAAGCCTTTTCAACAAACCTAGATGTATGCCGGGCTCCAGAAGTAGGTTGGCGGTAAGGAGAACGTGAACGTGACCTCGAACGAGAACGTGAGCGGCCTATAAAATTAAATGAAGCTTTATAGAAAATATTTAACACACAGGCAATCCAATATATAGATTGGTCTATAGAAGCAGCTCAAATTTGCATTAAGACAAAACTTCATAGCAACTGACAGGTAAATACATGATCCCTATATACCACACTCTTAACTTGGAGAAAACGCAAGTCTGGATCTAAGAAAAGACTAAAACATGCTCATCAAGGTTAGATGGTCTTGATGTCAACAACCCAACAGATATATTGAACTGGAAATTTTTTACCCATGGAGGTGTATATAATTCAGCATGAGAGAAAACATTAACTTGCAACTGTTTGAACAAGATCCCTGAACTCAGGGATGCAAGGGTAACTGAGAAAGTACAACAAACACAGGCAACATAAACAATTCATTTAAATCAATTTTTAATTCTATTAAAAACAGGAGAAAGAAAAAACAAAATCAAGATTTTAGTTTTCACTACTGGATGCTTGAGGGACAAAAAAAGATGTTGCCAACACTTGCGTATTCTCATATTTAAGAATCAATGCTCAGTAAGTCAGATAATCAGTATTAGAGTACTACTTAAACATAAATATATTCATAAAGCAATTACAGTTGTGATAGTAACAAAAAGAATATTTCACCCATGACAAAAGTTAGATGACAGTTGATGCCAAATGTCAACAATCAAAAATAATATCAAGAAATCAAGCAAGTACCATGTCCAGAAGATCGCCGATCATCATAACGAGAAGGCCCACTGTGAAACAAATAATAACAATAAAGTATATACAATATTAAACATCACACCTATTAGTAATAAATACAGTAACAGCAGTAAACAAAAGGGAATATATGTTAGTACTTATGTATTGATCTGTGACGCATGTCCTCAGGCCTTTTCCTTGTTTCAGATGCAACCACCACAGTTATCTCTCTTCCACCAAATCGCCGCCGATTCATCTGATACTGAGCTTCTGCAGCATCATAAGGGTCAATGAACTCCACAAATGCAAATCCCCTGGGCTCACTGCAATATAAGTTTGAAGCATAATTAGTGAGGATGGTCAAAGCCAGTGCAAAACCAAACATGGGAAAGGTAAAAACAACACAGCTACTTGCTAAGTTTACCATCAACAGTGTCATCATTTAATGACTTCCTAAAAATCTTCATGATGGATAGGCATTTACTTACTATCGTTTCCATCAAAAAAGACAATCAACTACCGCATAAGGCATCTAGCAGTCCACACTCTAATGCCTTGACCTCTCTTCTACACAATATGTACGGAAACTTCGTAAAGTCACATATCTTCAAATTCTTCAAATGAAGTAACTACTTGTATCACTTGATATTAACTATGCTTCCACTTCTCATGCAAATTTAATTGGTCTTCATTCTAACTTGATCTTCAACAACCTCATGTTGATGTGGATTCCAAATGCTTCTTGATAGGGAATGCTTCATTTGAATATGACTCTAGACCCTCAACCGAAGGAATAAGTTAGGCAATTGTAAAGAGTGAGCATCATAAAGTGCAAAGCTTCTAATTACTTCAATGCAGTGCACCCTTGAGAAGCAAACCAAATCGCAACTTACTGCAGAAGCACAAAAGAAGAATATAATAACCATAAAAAGTATGTTTCAAAGCATTTTTTCTACCTTGGTGATATTGATATAAAATTCCAAGAAAGAAGAAAATGCAGAATAAAAATCACCAGGTTGATTATATTTCATAAGGCTCCAACTCTTAAATAAGAAGGCATCCATTTATAAATGTGAACAACAGGATGGTTCCTCAGTAGATACCATAATTGCATCTTCTTTGTACCCCTCCTGGTCCTGGGGAATTTGAAGAGAAATTATGGTTTGAGGCATCCACCTCACAACTACACTGGCATCAGATTTTATGAGACCCCACTGTAGCTCATAGTTTCATTGGCAGATATATGACATGAATTAATAAGCAAACCAGATAGGTATCAAGTTGAAATAAAGTCACAAGAAGCTTGGAAATTTCATTTGCAGCAGTTTCTCCAAATTTAGCTTACATCCTAAAGCCAACCATGAGAATATGATAGTGAAGCAAAGGCAAGACTACAATATGCTAACGGAGCAAGTGCAAAACCTTAGTCAAAATTCTTGAAATCACCAAAATAACATTAAAAACTCTACATGAGCATAATTTACTAATTTGGTTCTTTTTTTTTTGTCATAATGTTGTGCACCAGCTTCTCTTGCACTCTGCAAGATACTCTAAACTTTGAGACTGTTGATCAGAATTCCATGTATTTGGAAGCCAACGTTCACATAAACTTATATCTACAAATGAATCTCTTACATATTACACTACCATGCATCCCTCAGAACTTGCCCTTCGTTGATTGCAGTACTGAAAATAATTCACAAAGAAAACACCATCACTTTTGCAGTTGTGTTTATAATTATACCACACAATGGGGAACATTCCAGATGAACTGATCGCTCCTTTTCCATCCACTAATAGAGGAAAAATAACCAAATACTGATAGCTTGCTCTTCACAAAAATTATCATATGACACGCGTACCTTATGCCTACGCCTCTTGCAAATCCTACTTTAATGGTGTAATATAAACCTTTTCCTTATATCTCAAAGAAAGCATTCTCAGATAAAACATAAAACCATTCAGGTGTAGCAGTAGGTTAAGACCACCTCCAGCCTTCTTCAGGACTTAGGTAAACGCTAACCATGACAAGGGTTTTCTTATTCGTAATCTCAAGAATTCAACTGAACTACGTCGAATCAGAAATCATAAGAGAGATGAACTATACATTAAAAAGGAACATTCACATCCTTAATCATCAAGGCCTAAACATCAACCACTAAGAACTCACCCAGAATAATAATCCTTCGGTAAATAAACATCCCTTACTCGCCCAAACCTTTCAAATGGGGCGCGGAGGTCCTCCGCTCTGTAGACAAGAAAACAAAATTGTCTAAATATGCAAGGACAAATATACAACCACTATCAACCCTTCATATAACAAAGCAAAACCAACTACAAACATCAAAGGAAGAATCTTTACCTGCAATTCAGGGGAATGTTTCTAACCAAAAGACTCTGACCAGATTCCCTGCGCCCGCCGCCGCCGCCACCGCCGTACTTCCTCCTCGGTGGACTTCTTCCTCTACCACCATAACCTCTTCGCGGGGGGCTATAATACGCCGGACTGTGCCTCCTCATTATCGAACTGTAACAAGAGATGCTTTAAATGTTCGTATTTTTGGGGCAAACTGGCTTTCAAGAAATCAAGCAGCTTCAATAAGCGAAAGGGAAATTTTTGTTTTTGACTTTTAGGTTTTTTTTATTTATTTAACAAGTTAGGAAACTCAAAACAACTTTATAAAACCCTAATAAAATAAGAAAGATTTTCAATTGATAAAAGTCAAGAAGGAAAGCCCTAATCTTCGAATATCTCACAAAAGATTAAGCCCTCAAGCGCTCTCATAGAAGGTTCCCGCAAAAGGGAAAGTTAGGGTTTTACAAATCGAGAGAGAGAAAAATAGGGTTTTTGAATTCGATTTCAAAGATCGACGACTAACCTGGAGAAAGAATGCAACGAGTGCAGAATTTGGGGTTTCGATCTCGGGAACCCAAACCCTAGCGAATTCACCAGCTAGAATGAGAGAAGTCGAATAATTGGGAACACGAGAGTCAAATAGGGATCCATTTTTGGTTGGGCTGAGGTTAATGGGCTTCTATAAGTAGGCTGTGATTTGATTCTTTATTGGAGCCCATTATATATGGGCCTTAAGTAATAGTTCCTAAACGTAGCGATTTTAAGGTCACACTTGTATAACTTTTCTTTTTCTCAATCAAGAACTCCGTTTGGCTACTATTAAAAAAAAGTAGAACTATTATGATTTGTTTTGAATCTAACACTTATTATACCACTCACAAATTATGTTGATTCTTAATTTGCACTAAAAAATTATAATAATTTACTTGAAAAATTAACGATTACTAATAAAAAAGAATAAAATATGTTTTTAACTGTACCTCTCAAACTATGTTTACGACTTTCATATGGTCATTTTGTGAGCATATAATAAAATATTTAACAGATTAATAACATAATTATGTTTTTTTTTCTTACTTCTTGGTGAGCTTTTATCAGTTTATGTCCTTTTCCCCCAAACCGAAAAACATATTTTAACTACTTTCTTGCTAGAATTTTTTATCATCACCCTTTTATGAATTAAAAAAAATTATTTTCTAGAATGCAAAGATACAAGAAATGCAAAAAATAAAATAATAAACAAAAATCATGTCATTACTTTGTTAAATATTTGAGCGTAGGCTCACAAGATGATCACATTAAGGATACACACATAGTTTAAAGAGGAAAATATGCATGCATATTGGTTCTTTAAGAACAAGGGGAGAGTTCACTCATACTTTTAAGAGGGAAATAATGATATTATCCCAAAAAAGAAAAAAAACATGTAAGTTCTGGGTACATTTTTTTTTTAGAGATATATAAAAATAAATAATTAAAAAAAGTCGCCCCTCAGCAGAGAGTTACGAGGGCCAGATGGCGTTTTTTGTTTGGACTGTTTTATTAAATTCAATTCAGATGTAATTCTACATCCCAATCGAACCAGCGTAAGAAAATTAAATGCTTAGCACCTCTTCATCCCACTCCTCCAACCGCATAGATTTTAAGCTACTCACGCGGTACATGTTAATAAAGCAAAACCCATAAAACTTTTGACCAACGTCCACGGGTCCTGTGAGTAAACCTCTCTTTATTTATTATTATTATTATTATTATTATTATTATTTCCTTCAAACACCGAAAGGATTAAATGAACACACCTGCAGTTTTCTACCACCTTCAAACTTAAAACTCTTCAACCACGTATTTAAATTCACAGCTAACAACATAAGTAATGAAGTTTGAAGATATCCTGATGCAGAGGAGAAGGGAGCATCAGAAGAGGCGAGATCTCGAGGAGGAGGTGAGTTGAGCAGCAGCCTGCTGAGCTCTGTACTGGGGATTATATATGTTAGCGAAAAGAATGAACAGTTGGTAACTGATGCAGGTGGAGGAGTTGCAAGAGATACTTCAGGCGGAGAGAAACCTGAATCGGGCGCTAGAGTGCGCGATGCGCGGGCCAGCGGTTTGCCGTTCTTGCCTGTCTTCATTCCTTCCTCTTAAGGTATCGTCGGGCAATTACCTGTAAATTAATCTACGTTTTTGTATAATAAGTTTTGCGTAAAAATAATGAGGAATGGGAAAAATGGGTATGAGATGAGAGCTCATGTTGCCAAATGAGCTACCAAGAGGCTCACCCTATTTGTAACATCTCTGGTCTCACCCACTCTGTCTCTTAGTAGCTCATTTTGCTGGACGAGCCGTCACCTCGTAACCATCAAACCGTCAGGGGTAGTTATTAAGCTATAATAATGCAATGATTCAGATAAGGTCATCGAGAGGAAGTGGCTAATAGTTTCTAAACTGACAGAATCCTTCAAATGTCAGCGATGGCTACGAGAAAAGAGAAGCATGTTCTTTCTGTAGGAAAACGGACCAATCGAAAAAGAGAAAACCATAAAAATCCCACATTAGAATATCACTGAACAATATGGCAAGACTGTGATCTCTAAGTTGCGATGCTAAATAACCGAGAACAAATGAAAGTGAGATGCATATTATTCCATCAATACTCAAGACTCCATAATGATTCCAGATTCCCACATTAATCGACAATAAATCTAAATTCAATGAAAGAAAAGCTTCGAGATAAAATATCCTAACCTAATTGGTGTGTCTACACAACTCTGTATATATAATTAGAAAACAAGATTTGTAATTGTTAGTAGAACCAAATAGCCATCTTCTCCAAAACATCTCAAGCATGAAAATATTATCTGCATGAGTCAATTCTACTGAATATTAATTTATGCTAATCATACACACCACTAATTACCAGCCAACATAAACAACAACATACACTTATTCGACCGCAACCACAACATGGTCAGAAGAAAATTTTATTTAACATAAATTATCTGTTCAGGTGCAGGTACTTCTAGCAGAAATAGCAATGGTCGAAGAAGAAATAATTTGCCTGGAGAGAAAGGTGAAAGACTTGAAACTACATTTGTATCAAGAGAGAGAACAGAAAGAATGGGATTTACATGAACAGCGGGAGCCCAAACAGATGGAATTCCTATGCAGTCCTGAAGATGAAAGATATGCTCTTGAATTGGTGACTGAAACAAGCAGCACATCCTGCAGAAAGCCAAAGGGTATAAATATTGCTTAAATCGTGTCAAAATCCCTCATAGTCAATATACATAGATATTATTGTGTGTCATTAAGATTCCAAGGAACCTGCACAAGTTCTCTTGAAATCAACAAAAAGGAAGAAAAAAAATATCAACAAGTTCATTTACAACTATGAAACAAATCAAGAAGGAACCAAGACATGAAGGTAATTAAATCTTCTAAAAGTGTTGGCCTGTTATTAATCGTGCTAATTGCATTTATTTACCATCTACAAGGAACTGCTAGCATCTTTAGAGCACACAGATTTGCATTAAAAATAGGTTTTTCATAATGAAATTAGTATGGTTTGGATTTTCAACAGATAAGGAAGCTGTGTATTCACGAAGCTGCAATGAACCAAATCAAAGCTGGGGCCTTTCAGATGAAGAAACCAGTACCGAATCACCGAACAAACTGTCAGAACAACTCATCAAAACTCTGATCATCATTTTTCATAAACTTCACAAGTCATCCATGCAACCGGAATGCAAAGAAGATACTGTTCCTAAACTTAACATTTCTTGCATGAGCTCCAGGAGTGTTATCTCCAGGTCTTCATACAACTGCAAGTCAACCGTGTCCTCTTCGAACACTCTACAGATATCAGATCCTTATGATGTTTTGCTAGAAGGTGAAAGAACAGCACGAGATATTGGAGCATACAAGAAGTTCATCCATTTCACAAAGAGTTCATTGGACATGACTCGTATAAGATTATGCGGTCCAGCAATTAGGAAACTGAGGCAAGTATAGTTGATAAGCATATGTTACGCCATGAACTGACATAATTATTCAATGGGGGCTTCTTACATATTCTAAAAATTCTACCCTTCTCATAGTTAGTATCTTAGTGCATTACACGTGTGCATATTGACCATGCTCCTTCCAGGATACACATGGAAATACAATTACATCTCATACATAAAAGTCCTTAAAGTTGGCAATCGCACTTACACCAAGAATATGGACATCCAGTATATGGCATGAGAGGCATACGTTGGTTCAATTTGAAATAAATTATTTACCATGGCTTTCTTTTGTCTAATACTAATAATGAGAAATACTAACTGTCAATAAATAAAATGCATGCCTACTGGGGATACAATATAAGTGGTACAAATCATTACTATAGTTCTAAGTTAGTAAACAAGGTTACAACTATTTCACTAGAAAAAGGTGATCATTGAGAATACAGTGTTTCAGAAACTTAAACATTATTGACGATAACGAGTTCTGCCATTTAACAGGTATTCTCTCTCTTATCAGAAGCGATCTCCATGTGCAACCTTTGAGAAATCATCTTTTTTTTTAAGTATCTTGATGCATGAACTATGTACTGCTGAACTAAGCTTCTTGACGCACAACCAAAATCTAGCATTTCGGATCAACACCT